AGAAGTGGGCTGTAGTCCACGAAAGCTTATGCTCTAATAAATTTGTTAGTCTCTAAGGTGCCACAAGTACTCCTGTTCTTTTTGTGTTTGACAAGTTATCCTCCAGATAAATCCAAGAACTTCCAGAGGCCTAAGCAGCCACTGGGCCCCCGCTGGCAGATGTCCCCCACCAGTGCTTAATTTGTAGTGAAAGAAGTGTGGGGCTCAAGCAATTAGGTGCTGGGACTCAAACAATGTTTTTACTTTCACAACTGATGCGCAGGTGCCAGGGCTCTGAGCTGCCAGGCCCAGAGGTGCCGGGGGTTCAGCCCTGGCACAAATAAAGCCCTGCCCCCCACGCACTGAAATCAGGAGCACCCCTGCTGCCACAGCCCATCTGGTGCTGGTGGCCAGGACAGGCAGCGGGGGGCACCTGGGCATGTCACTTGACACCCTGGTGAGAGCCAAGGGCCCAGGGCTGCGAGGATTGACTAGGGGCAGCCCAGCTTTGCAGCCCCCCAGCGTTGCCTGAATTCTGCAGCCCCCCACCCCCAGAAGGGCCCCGCCCCTAGCCGGGCGCCAGCCCCGGGTTGCTGCCAGCAGCGGCGCCCCCGAAGTTCTGCCTGGGGCCCCCCGCGAGCCCGGCTCGCTGCACCCCCGGCCCGCACTCACCCAGCGCCGCCAGGCTGCGCACCCCGCCGCGGGGCAGCCCGTGCGAGTCCAGCAGCCGGAACCAGCCGTTGGGGTAGAGGGGCGGCAGGTCCCCGGCCCTGCGGCTCCGGCGCGCCCGGCGGGCGGCCTGGCGGCGGCTGCAGCCCCGCTCGGGGAGGTAGCCCACGCGCTCCGGGGCGCGCCGCAGGGCCAGGGGCCGGGCGCACAGGCGGAGCAGGGCGGCGCCCCCGGCCAGCAGCAGCAGCAGCGGGGGCAGCGCCCGGCCCCAGCTCCCGGGCTCCCCGGCGGGCAGCAGGAGCAGCGCCCCGGCGGCGCACAGCAGCAGCAGCGCCAGGCTCCGGGACGGCCACAGCTCCATTGCGCCGCGCTCTGCCCGCCCGCCCCGCCGCCCTTATACCCTGCC